CCTAGATGCACGTGTGTTGTGTTTATGCAGTGCAACTCCCACCAGTGGGTGGCTATGTAGAGTGATAGAACAGAGCAGGCACGCCCCCGAGAGAAGGAAAGCAAGTCACGTCACAAATTAGCATTTCTAAAATGTTAGCGTGGATTAATAAAAGTGCAAAAAGACAGCGGTTGTCGCCGAAGAAACTTCAAATACAGAGAATGCTGTGCCTGTGTTGGAAATTGTGTCTGATGGGGAGCTTTCTTTGGTTGATCCTCCTGCTCCAAGTTCTAGTGCATTAGCATTAGCACTAGCTCCGCCGCCTCCTCCAGAGCCTCTAACGTTAGCTGCTGCTGGCTCAACTGCCACCACCAACACCGGGCAAAGCGATGCACGGACTGCTGGACAACGGACCAGGTGCAATATTTTTGACAAGACCAATGCATGGCTCCTTCTTAAAGATAAGAAGCTAGGATGTCGGATATGCAGAGATGTCAAATCTTTGGGAATACACATGGACAAGGACTGAAACTGTCAACTGAATGGGGTGGAGTGTGCAGTGTCTCATTTCGGTGTGCCAAGGGCACACAACAAGATAGCCTGAGAAAAAAAATCAAAGAACATAAGAATCACAAGCCCATGTAAAAGCTGCTGACATCCCTTACATCTGCTTCACGTGAAATATTCAACATCAAGTGCAGTCTATGCATAAATCTGAATTAGGACACCACTATCAGAGTTTTCTTCGAACGGCATATAAAATTGGCAAACATAGCCGGCCATTCACAGACATGCCAATTGATTGAATGTACAGAAACCTGAATGGGCTGAAAGTGGGCAGGGTTTTTGCACTCCAATAAAACCTGTGGCGAAATCATCGACCACATAGCTCATGAGCTGAAGAAAAAATGGCAAAGACATTACAGAAAACCAAAGAAAACTCTGTGTTTTGGTCGATTGCATCTACCACTATTAGTGGTAAAACGGTGCTTGTTGTGTGTCTACGCTCAGCATTAGCTGATGCTGAGCCCGAAACGTTTTTTTGGGAGCTGATCGAGTTTGGATGGAACAACGGCTGATGACATCACAAAGGCGTTAATGGACGTGTCTTGGAAGAGATTTAACGAGGACTTTTTAGGTCAGTGTTTCGTTTCTTTTGCATGTGATGGGGCTTCAGTCATGCTAGGGAAGAGAACAGGCGTTGCTACCCAGTTGTGTAGTAAATTCCCAAGCCTGTTTGTGTGGCACTGCTCCAATCATCGTCTAGAGCTGGCAGTTGGGGATGTGGTCAAGGAGGTCTCAGGGCTCAATCATTTCCAGATCTTTTTTGACAAACTCTATTCCTTGTTCCATGCCTCCCCCAAAAATCAGAGGCAGTTAGCGCAGTGTGCGCAAGCAGTCGGACAGCGTCTCCTGGTGATAGGGCGTGTTTTGTCCATCCGCTGGGTGGCTTCAAGTGAAAGGAGCGTCAGAGCAGTCTGGGAAAACTACCGAGTGCTTCATGATCACTTCACAAATGCTGCAAACGACACGAGCAGGGATTCCAGAGACAGAGCAAAGTACAAGGGCCTGGATGATGTGCTCAACATCTGCAACGTTTGTCAGCAATCTGGGACTGATGTACGATGCGCTCACAGAGCTCAGCGACCTCTCTCGGCAACTCCAAAAAAGAGAGATGACACTGCCTACAGCAGATAGGCTCTTAACTCGAGAAATACGAGTTTTTGAATCCATGGTCACCATGCCTGGCCCACACATGACTACAGTTCATACAGCTCTACTGAGAAGTCCTTCAAGGGTGTTGCCCTGCGTGAGAATGGCAGGCTTGTACAGATTCATGCAGGTCAGTTTTTCCGCAGTATGGTAGAGAATCTGAGACACAGAATGACTTCCACAACCTCCTCTCATGTCAGCACAAGAGAAATCCCATTACATGGCCGGGAGGCCCGGGACAATCAGCTAATCCAGGACATGAAAGTTATCCATCCTGGAAGGTTGGCCTGAAGAGGAGTTAGACGTACAGTATGGGGACGTAGAGGTGCTACGTTTGTGCGAAGTGCTGAAACGTGGACAGAAGAGAGACTGTTCAGGGCTTTCGCGAATACAAGGAAACCAGGGCATCCCGTACACCTGCTGCCATGGAGCCTCTACTGAAAGCAGTCCGAACCATCGCTGTCTCCACTAGTGAGTGTGAGCGGGCATTCAGCTGCATGAACGATATCCTTACTGCAAAAAGGAATGCTCTCTCTGTCAGCCGACTGTCCAGCCTGGTTTTCATTAAATGTAATGGACCATCACTAGGACAGTTCAATCCGGAACAGTATGTGAGGTCCTGGCTGGCAAAGGGAGGAGAAGTGCTGATGAAAGAGCCTGTCCAGCTCCAGCCCCTGATACTGATGTCCCCAAGGCCTTCTGGAGCCTTTTCTAACAATGTGAAGTATATTGCAAAGCAGCTCACCCAGTGAGAAGACTTTTGGCATAATGTGCCGATTTGTACAGATCCTGGAGATAGAAGGACTTCAGACCAACCAGGGAGTTATCTGATCAGCTTGGTGTTCAATGTAACTCTTTACCATGGCTCAGACTTTGTTACTTGCAGTTACAGTTTCTCATTTTAGATTGTGCAAATTTTGCATTTGTTTTGACATGTTCTTTGTTCATGCTCTTTATCATTTTTCTGAGTTGGAAAGTTAGATTGCATCATAGTTTACTTTATACATATTTGTATTCTTCAGTGGTGAAGTATATTGCAAAGCAGCTCAGCCATGTGAGAAGACTTTTGGCACTTTTTTCGTTTTTCGTTTTCTGAGTTGGAAAGTTAGATTGCATTCAAATGTACAGAAATACTTAATTTTGTTAAAGCTTTTTTATAAAAAAATGCTTCTGACCAGAGCTTTGTTTCCTTGTCATTAATGTTGAACACCACCAGAGGGGCTCTCACCCTGAAAGGTCTCTGCTTCATGTGTCTTCAGCAGAAGATCTAGACTTTGATTGCTATATTTTCAGTTAATATTGACCTTACTGAGCTTTAGCCATATCCGCTTGCCTATCATAAAAAATGTTAAGTACAGTGAACCTTTCTAAAATATACAGTAGTAAAGAGACAAACCCACCAGCATTATAGTAGCCAAATTCTTGTTTGTGGGCTGTATATATAAAATTGACTTGAAAAAGTTGCTGATTTTAGAGTACTGGCACCTTTTTCATTCCAATTCAAGCACTGCTCGGCTGAAGTCTTTGCGGAGTGCTCCAGTCTGGTTGCCAGTCTCCAGTGCCACACATGGCCAACACGCAGGAGAACACGCCGACGCAACAGCGTGAGCAGATATAGACTGGACAAAATATACAGATAGCAGGAGACAGAGGACAGCCATGGTCAGATAGGAAAACATTCAGGAGCTATCTGGATCAGTCTTATGCGACAATGGAAACTGAACTAAAGAGAATATTTGAAACTTTAGCAGTCTGCGTGATCTGCCTGCAGGGAGGGGCGGGCCGGCCCTGCGAGTAAAGTAACGAGTTACTTTATGTAGAGAGTAACGAAGTAGTGTACTATATTACTTTTTTTTAAATTAATATGTAATATGTAATATATTACTTTTTTTTAGTAACGACCCCATCTCTGGTTGTTTATTATATATGACTTCAGTGTACAAATGCACTTTTGCTCCTAAATGGGGATTTTCCGTAACCTTTTTGATTCTAAACCATTCTAAACCAATTGTGATAAGAAAATATACAGGGAACTCTTTTGTGTCATGCATAGGGTAGATGCTGAACAAAGAAAAGCAGATATTATAATTAGTAATCTCACTTCACATTCTAAAGCTCGAAGAAGAAAGAGTATCATGAAGTGGGTTTTCATCTTAAGTGCTGCACAAGGATACTTGAAAAAGATGAGATCAAGGACAGAAACGCACTGTAGCCTATATCTAGAATTTTCCTTTTAGAGACATCTTTCTTTTCTATCGAAAGTAAATGGCACAGAGGAAAAGGGTTATATATCTTTGAGTGGTAAAAGGGGATGTATTAATAATATACTATTATATATATGATATACTTTATCTTACTTTACCTTTATATACTATTCATATAATACATTGTATTATATGAATAGTCAACATTCTCACTAACAACCATTAAAAACGATTATTTCCAGGACGCAGAGATCTCTATCCTGGTGGTTTAAATGTTTGTGTATCCTGTGTGTTGAAGGCAGTGCCAGAAAAGGGCATGGTGCGATATGATGATGAATTATAAATTCAAATCGATCTACATTAGGGGGCAATTAACCCTGCCTCAACGCTTTTGCCTCAAGCACCCCATTTTAAGACATTTACCTCGTTGGCTTCATGTTTATGGCCTCTTACCATTAAGTATTTGGACATGCAGACATTGCTCTATTATTGCAAAGGAGAAAAGCTGTCAGATGTATTGTTAAAGGGCAAATGTGCTTGATTTATGGGACTGAACTTCTAGAAAGTTTAGATTCTAGAAACTAAAAACATTGTGTAGTAGCTATGAAAACCTAACTTTACCATAACAAATAGATTAAGCTTTATGTTAGTCTTTTTGATGATTGTCCTTGCAACCCACTTACGGATTGCTTTAGTACCTCTTTTAACCAATAAACTATTTTAAAATATTGGCCTGTTACCTTATTTCCCCTCAGGCTCGGGGATACCTGAGGTGAGGACCATGCTGGCTGGCTTCAAATGCTCACTACTTGTCTCTCACTAACATGTCTACCAAGTTCCTGGGCCTTATCTGCACACTGGCAGCCGGCAGCACTGTTTTCCTGGGCAAAGTGGTGAGAGACGAGACAGGGTACACGTTGGTCTTACAAAAGCAAGCAACCAGTCTTTAAAATGGAATGAATTGTGATATAAACAAAGTTCTTAATATTTTGCCTCTTAACATCAGGGTCCATTTGTGCATCTCTCCACTATAATTGGAGCCTACCTGAGCAACCTCTGCAATCTCATACCAGCCAATAACAAGGTAAAAGCAAAGTTATTCAAAAATGAAGCCTTATCCACATATACTGTAGATATAGCTAGCAAAACATTTCTATAAACAATACTTAAAATGATATCTAAAGAGTTTTTAGTGTCTTTTAGCGCATTGTTTTAGCATTCATAAACCCAGTTAATTCCCACCTATTTCATTTTGTTATAATTACAAATGTTTCTTCATGTTTGTACTTGCTGACCATTACAATAGTGATGATTTCAGGTTACCCCCAAGTGGCTAAAAGGAAAATGAATAGCTTTAAGAAGAAGCAAAGATTTATGTATGTGTACACATTTCTACTGAAAGAATTGCCTATATGAGTGAATGTGAAGTTAAATATTGTTTTACATCTTCATAAAAGAAATACATATATTTGCTAGAAATAGAAACTATAGAACCTGTCCTTTGAAAATCTGTGAAGTTAAAGGGACTCTGTTATGCAAATGTTCAGGTATCACATTTCTTTTTTGCGCTTCTACAGTGACTGATTAGTTAGCTGTTGTGATTGGTCATGGTTGCTTAGAGATGTCCCCACCCTTTGCATATCATGTATAATGTATTGGAGTGCTGGCCAATAGAAGCATTACATTTACATAGTGATGTCATTATGTCAATTCATGAATATCCTAAATGTTACTTTGTGTAGGATTCAAAAGGTCAGAATTCTTTTTTTTATTATACTACATTTCTCTTTTAGGAAAAAGCTGGTGGAGAAATGCTGGTTGTAGCTGCTGCAGTGGGTGTAGCCAGCTGCTTTGGAGCCCCCATTACCGGTGAAAGACAACAAGGATTTTTACCTGCTCAAGCTATATCTGTCTTGACACCTGGCTGATTTGTGCTATTCCACCTTTTATTTCGTTTTTGCTTCACATAATTGCCATGTTATTATGTTAATCATTTTCCCTCACCTCCTTCTCCTTTGATCCCATAACATTTTAATAGTCACAATTCACCGTTTTATTTAGGTAAACCTTGTAGGGGGTACAACACCTCAGCTTCAAACTCAATTTGTACTCACACTGTAAGAAACATTCAAGTGCATCATAACCAAAGTAAAACATTAAACCAGGGTGGGGAACCTTTTTCCTCTCAAGGGCCATTTCAATGTTTTCAACTTCCTCCGAGGGCCGTACAAATGATTGACCTCTGTTTAAAAATACTAAAATCACAGCCCACTCATTTCACTTTTCTTTCATGTTGTGCAAAGAAAAAAGCAACCTCTTAATCCAGATATCTTGCCATGACTCACGCATGCACGTGCACGGTTGTGGCATGACCACCAAAACAGAAAGATATGGACACAAGATGTATGCAAATGTGTTTAGACTCCTATCCATGTGAACATGATTTAAGTGGGGGGGGGGGGGGACCTAACCTCCTCTAGGGGTCCGGGGGCATGCTCCCCGGGAAGATTTTTTTTTAAATGTTGAAGTTGAAAGCATCGATCTGGTGCACTTTGAGAGCAACATTAGGAGATCTATGGATACATCTCTCAACACCCATATGAAACACAACTGTAAGCAGATTTCTTTTTCTTTATGGATATTTTACAAATCACTCCCCTTTCAAACTGTATTCTTGTTTATTAATAACAACTTTTTTTTACTGTCATATAGTATTTTATACCTGTTTACTTTATTCTCTTGTTTTTTGATAACTATAATGATCATATAAAGATGTGCCTTTACCTCACTGGTTGTAGAAAAAGCTTCTTATATTCGTTAGCATAGCTAGCTAACCAGATGCTAATAACAACAAAGTTATTGACTGTATGATTGATTGATTGATTGAAAAGTTTATTAACAGCTTGTATATTGGGTACAGTACAGTACAGCTCAAAACATACAATTGTTAAGGGGATGCAGACCAGAGAAAGACTTTCGTCTTGTTTACATCAGGGTCCCCCATTTCCAATTCATCATATCATTTAAGACATATAAGACATACAGATGGCTTATTTACAATTTACATACAGGTGGTTTTTACATACAGATTGCTTATTTACAATTTTCATTTTAGATTTCGTTCTAATACATCCTAACCGGACATTTAAGACATACCAAGTCTACAGATATACAGTTAGTAACAGAGTCTAAAATGCGAGTATATACATAGATGGGGGGGGGGGGAAGCTGTCCATTGAACGACAGGTTGAGATTTGTACCATTACCGGGGCCAGTTTTGCAATGCTCTCCCCCGAAGGTGCTCTTTAAGAGAGGTTTTGAAGGTAAGTATAGTTTTACTTTCCTTTACAGTTGTGGGAAGAGCGTTCCACCTTGATGTGGCATAATTGCGAAACGTGTATTCCCCCTTTTTTGTGCCAAATCTGGGTTTCACATGATTTGTGGAGCTCCCTCTGGTGTTATGATCATGGTATTCCTTGACCTTTGGGAAGAATTTGGACATGTACATGGGTACCATAGAGGTGTAGTGGATCTTGTAGACCAGGCCCATTGCAAGTAGCTGTACTCTGTTGTCTACTCTAAGCCATCCTAGGTTGTCAAAGTGGGCAGAGGTGAGGTGGGTTCTAGATGAAAGGTCAAGCAGTAGTCTGACCAGTTTATTTTGCGATGTTTGAATTTTTATTTTTAGCGCCTTGGAGGTGCTATGGTACCATGACGTGCAAGCATAGTCATAGTACCCTTGAATGAGTGCTCCTGCCAGAGTTTTCAGGGTGTTTTTGTTTACCAGAAAGGAGATCCGGTATAGGAATCTAGTTCTTTGATTGACTTTTTTTATTACATTGGATGCCATTTTGTCACAGGAGAGGTTTGCCTCAAGAATAGATCCTAGGTATGTAATTTCCTTCTTACTTGTGACAATAATGTCGCCCACTGCAACTGAGAAGTCGTCGGATTTGCTGAGATTATGTTTCGAACCGAAGAGAATGGACTCTGTTTTACCCAGGTGTAATGATAATTTATTATCGGCGAGCCAGGTGCAGATTCTGCCGAGCTCGGAGCTGAGGGTTTTTTCAACCTGCAATCTGCTCCTGTCAGAGACCAGCAGGGCTGAGTCGTCCGCGAACAGGAACAAGTTGCAGTCACATGCTGATGACATGTAATTTACATAAATTAGGAACAGTAACGGACCTAATATGCTTCCTTGTGGAACACCACAGCTCACTGAGAGGGGGGGGGACAGAGTACCGTTTACCTCCACCATCTGTTCTCTCCCCTCCAGGTAGGATTGCATCCAGCTCACCGATAGTTTATCAAAACCAATTGCTTTTAGCTTGTCAATCAGAATGGGGTGATTGACAGTGTCGAAAGCCTTTTGTAGGTCCAGCATCACCATGCTGCAGTACTTGCCCTCGTCCACCTCTTGTTTGATGTGGTCGCTCAAATAAAGAAGGCATGTGTCAGTGGAGTGGGATGTTCTAAAGCCAGATTGAAATTCATAGATTAGTTTCTTTTCCGCGAGGTACTTTTCGACCTGTTCATATACTATTTTTTCCATGACTTTCGAGATGGAGGTAAGTATAGAAACAGGGCGGTAGTTGCCTGGGTCCAATTTGCTGCCCTTTTTGTGCAGGGGGGTTACTCTTGCAATTTTGAAGTCTTTGGGTACTTTTCCCTGTTTTATGGAGAGGTTAATTATGTGAGCTATGATTGGTGAGATGGCGGTTGCTGTGTCTCTGAGGAATTTGGAGGGGATATTGTCGTGACCAGTGGCCTTGTTAGGTTGGAGGGCGCTCAGTTTAATGAGTACCTCTGCTGTTGTTACCCTTGCTAGACTGAAATCATCTTTGCGTACCCCTAGGTTTTTGTAGTAGGTCATGATGTGATCTACTCCAAAAAGCCCTGAGTGGGAGGGTAATTTATTTACAAGAGTTGTGGCTATGTTTGTGAAAAAAATGTTCAAGTACTTGGCCACATCCAGTTTGTCTGTGATGAGCCTGTTATCTGTCTTTATGTTTAAGTTAGAAAATGTCGTTTTGAGTTTTTTACTGCAGCCAAGCTGGTCCATCCATCCATCCATCTTCTCCCGCTTATCCGTGGTCGGGTCGTGGGGGTAGCAGTGCCAGCAGAGAGCCCCAAACTTTCTTTTCCCTGGCGACATCAACCAGCTCTGACTGGGGGATCCCAAGGCGCTCCCAGGCCAGCGAAGAGATATAATCCCTCCACCTGGTCCTAGGTCTACCCCTTGGTCTCTTCCCAGCTGGACGTGCCTGGAACACCTCCCTAGGGAGGCGCCCAGGTGGCATCCTAACTAGGTGCCCGAACCACCTCAACTGGCTCCTTTCGACGCGAAGGAGGAGCGGCTCAACTCCGAGTCCCTCCCTGATGACCGAACTTCTCACCTTATCCCTAAGGGAGACACCAGCCACCCTGCGGAGAAAAACCCATCTCGGCCGCTTGTATCCGTGATCTCGTTCTTTCGGTCATGATCCATCCTTCATGACCATAGGTGAGGGTCGGAACGAAAATGGCCCGGTAGACAGAGAGCTTTGCCTTCTGGCTCAGCTCCCTTTTCGTCACAACGGTGCGGTAAAGCGACTGCAGTACCGCTCCCGCTGCTCCGATTCTCCGGCCCATCTCACGCTCCATTGTTCCCTCACTCGAGAACAAGACCCCGAGATACTTGAACTCCTCCACTTGGGGTAAGGACTCATTCCCTAATTGAAGTGGACAGTCCATCGGTTTCCTGCTGAGAACCATGGCCTCAGATTTGGAGGTGCTGATCCTCATCCCAGCCGCTTCACACTTGGTTGCGAACCGATCCAGTGAGTGCTGAAGGTCGCAGACCGATGAAGCCATTAGAACCACATCATCTGCAAAAAGCAGTGGTGCAATCCTTAGTCCACCGAACTGCAGACCCCCTCCCCCATGACTACGCCTCGAAATCCGATCCATGTATATTACAAACAGGATTGGTGACAAAGCGCAGCCCTAGCGGAGGCCAACCCTCACCGGAAATGGGTCCGACTTACTGCCGAGGACCAGGACACAGCTCTCGCTTTGGGAGTACAGAGATTGGATGGCCCTGAGTAGAGACCCCCTCACCCCACACTCCCGCAGCACCTCCCACAGTAACTCCCTGGGAACTCGGTCATACGCCTTCTCCAAGTATACAAAACACATGTAGACCTGATAAGCGTACTCCCAGGCCCCCTCCAGGATCCTTGCGAGAGTAAAAAGCTGATCCGTCGTTCCACAACCAGGACGGAATCCGCATTGTTCCTCCTCAATCTGAGGTTCGACAATCGGCCTGACCCTCCTTTCGAGTACCTTAGAGTAAACTTTCCCGGGGAGGCTGAGTAGTGTGATGCCTCTGTAATTGGCACACACCCTCTGATCCCCCTTTTTAAAAAGGGGAACCACCACTCCGGTCTGCCACTCCTTCGGTACTGTTTCCGACTTCCACGCAACGTTGATGAGACGTGTCAACCATGACAGTCCCTCAACACCCAGAGCCTTCAGCATTTCCGGGCGGATCTCATCCACCCCCGGGGCTTTGCCACTGTGGAGTTGTTTGACGACCTCAGTGACCTCCCCCCGGGAGATTGGTGTTGATCCCCCGTCATACTCCAGCTCTGCCTCTAACATAGAGGGCGGAGTTGTCGGGTTCAGGAGTTCCTCAAAGTGTTCCTTCCAACGCCCTAACACTCCATCAGTTGAGGTCAACAACGTCCCATCCTTACTGTACACAGCTTGGATGGTTCCCTGCTTCCCCCTCCTGAGGTGTCGGACAGTTTTCCAGAACAACTTTGGTGCCGCCCGAAAGTCCTTCTCCATGTCTTCTCCAAACTTCTCCCACACCCGCTGCTTTG